GGCGCTGTGGCATTCATCTCCATATCCCCATATTTCATTGTTGTTAGTGCATATTGGATTATTGGTGTAGTTTAAAACGTTTCATTTTCTTGATCAAACAGGCAGAACCCTTGACCAAAGCGCGTGTCCTCTGTCGCGATGACGCCAGCAGGTCTTGTTCGAGGTGACGTTTCGAGCAGACTCAAAGACGGTGACGTCATCGCCAGGAACGGCATTGAGGACATACTCGTCGGAGCCGTTCCCAGGAACAGAAGACGGTTGTCGCAGGACAATGCCCAAACCAATAAAGAGAATAACAGGAGATCAGTGTTAAATAACATCCACAGAGTCAAGCCTCGGAACATCACAGAGGATGATGGTCAAGATGATGTGAGAGTAGATTCCACAGACTTCTACCTAGACAAAGGCATGACCGAATCTTCCCAAGGATTCACTATGTTCAGTAATGGCAGGTTTTTCGGGACGACGAGTGGCATTGACTGTATGGGGCGCTCAGGGTCAAACATCTTACAGAAGAGTGTTATGTCTGATGTTCTAGGCCACGGTGTGACTTCCCGCCGAACTAGGAACTCTAATACCCGTAATGAACACAGTAGACAGTTGTTCTATTCCAACGACAAAACTAACAACAGATGCGTAGTTCAGAACAGACGCTTTGAACAAGTCACGACATTTTCAGTTTCGCCTCATCTTCAAATGGCCGTGGAGGTCGCGAAATCATTGGAAATTGAGACCCACCCCTTTCTGTACAGTGGGTATCGGAGATCGCCCAGTCCAGGCTACAATACTCCCGAATCTCCCAGATCCGATACGTTGAATGACGATCTTAAAACAGAATTATCAAACGAATACTTACTTTCTCCAAGACGTAATTTAACCATCGATAATCTTTCCATTCAACAAACTCACTCCAAAGTTCGACCAGTTTCATCTAATTCAAATAACAGGCAAGTGCCCCAACCGACGCAAACAAATGTTGCAACTAGCAATTCTATTCTGAGAACTCGACATTTGAGCGATTCTGAACATGACAAAAAAGATCGCCTTAATCAATCACGCCATCGGGGAACAGGTAGGAAAACGAGATCGATACACGCTTGGATGTCAGCCTCGAGTTCAGCAATCCCAGAAGAACCCGAGGGCCCATTTGGAGAAAACAAGACTCTAAACTCACCACACACCCAACTCAAAGAATTCGACGATGAAGATGAAGCCGATTCTGTCTTCTTTTCAGACAACAATATTTTTCATACTGATGCTGATAAAACTCTGAGCCCTTCTGGATCGAGTTCTCCAGCAAGTGATTGTCTCCCGAACATTGACACTCACAAAGATACCAACCGCCCTAATCACGAGGCTAAGAACGCGAATACTCTTACAGTGACTCCGTTTCTGAAAAGTATACCGCCGGGACCAAAGATGACAACTAAAATAAATGTGAGTCCTGCTTCGACGAATTCGCTACAGAGAGAAAGCGCTCTAAATTCAAATACGTCGTCTGCTTTTGAATCAAAACCCATCATAGAAAAACCCAAGACTCAGAAAATGCCTGCCAAGTGTGGAGACATGGGTATTGATACGTCAAAGATTGACGATTTTCCGGAGCATCTCGATTCCTATTCAGAAACTCTCCCGCTGAAGCACCGTCGTCCCTCAATGTGGAACAAACTCCGAGACCTCAGTCCACTGTCTCTCTTAGACCGTGTCATGACGCCAACGGAGAGAACGATTACGTCATCACCAGGCTACACTAAAGCTGCATCATCCAGTAAGATGAGCACTGCTTCCAGTGACGTCAGGAGGTCTGACAGCAAACACGAGAGATGTCCCAACTGTGGAGAAATGTTGCAGAGAGCCAAACCCACCCTCGTTGCGGTTAAGGGTAACGAGAAGACGTTTCTCTCTTGGATTTTAAACAAATGGGGCAAGGTAAGAAGTTGTTTGTTTCACAATGGTCATCAGCACCCCCCCCCCTCCACCCCCACCCCCCACAAACACCAACCCCAAACCGACAACCCAACATGCTTCCTCTTCATTTCTGCACCTCTTTGACACGATTGCAAATTGGTTTGTTTGTCTAAATCTCTATCTGTCTATCGGTCTGTTTGTCTGTCTGTCTGTATCTGTTTCTCAGTCTCTGTCTCTCTTTCTTTGTCTCATCATCCCTCCCCTTTCTTCACCCCCCCCTTCTCTCTTTCTTTCTGTTTCTCAACCTTCCTCGAATCATTGCCATCATCAATAATAATAATACATGTACGTCAGCCCTGTCCACATTTTTCCGCTTCTTGTTCACGTCACGTAGAATAATTATACCTCCGCGTATGTTCCTCCACATTGCTCTTGGCCTATATCTGTTTACAATCCCTTTCTGGCTTTGCTTGTCGTCGAACAATCGCCATTTCCTGTCTCACTTCCTTCCCTTGTTTGTTTGTTTGTTTGTTTTTTTGGACGGGAGGGGGG